TCTTTCCCTCATGGGTCATGCTATTCTTGTAATTCCTTCCTTGTCTTATTAAGCCTAATATTTATTACTTGTCTTTCCTTCCTCGGGCCTTTTTTTTTTTTTTTTCTTTTTAGGGTCAAATCCTTCCTTCCTCAGGCCTAACTCTCAACTCCTATAAAAACGAAACGCACAGTCTTGTTTTTTTTTTTTTTTTTTTTTTAAAATTTTTAATATTTAAAAATTAAGAACATAAAAAAGAAAAAGGAAAAAGATCAGCGGTGTCAATTCTATCTTTCTCTTTCTCTTTCTTTCAATCTTTGCTTTCCTTTTCGCTTTTGTCTTTCCCTGTCTTTGATCTACAATATCCTTTTCCATTTTACAATTTAAGATTAAAGGAAATTGGTTTGCTTTCCGTGGGATCGTTGATCGTTTTACATTTCTTTTGAGATTTCAGCTTTATATTTAGTTGTGCTTGGTTAAGGCTCTTTGAGTCTCGACTCCTTGAGAGTGAAAATCTTAAGCGGTGATGGTGGGTGGTGGGTGGTGGTGGTGGTGACACTCAGCATCTGCTGCTGCTCTTGCTCTTGCTTTTGCTCTCGCTCTCGCTCTCGCTTTGTTCTGAAAAGGAATGTGAGAGTAGTGAGAGAGTGCGGAAGTGTGAGCTTGTTTTTTATAGTTGAAAGCAAATCAAAGAAGCTCAGAGACTGCTTTAATGGGGTCGGAGCAGAATAGATTCCCGCAGCAGGAACGGGTAATGCTTCTCTCTCTCTCTCTCTCTCTCTCTCTCTCTCTCTCTCTGTGCTTTTGTTTGTGATTAAATGAATGTCCAACTGTTGTTACTGCTGCTGCTACTGCTGCTGTTGTTGTGGTAATGAATGGGTCAGTGAGAGTTTGTTTCAGTTTCAGATCTGGGGCCTTTTGTGCACCATTTTGCTGTGTTTGGCTTTTGGATTCTATTTGCTTTTTTGGGTTTCAATCAGATCTGTGCATCATTGTTTTTCTCTGGACAGATCTGCTTTTTAAAATTCAATTTAGGCTGTGCATGATTCTTGGTCACTAATCACTGTCCAGTTCAAGATCATCTCCCATTTTATCTACCTAGCGTTTTGTCATTATCTCATACACTGCGTGCTTACCATGCCATCAACACTGAGTGCTGTCGTTCAATGCCAAATTTGAGTCAATTTTCAAATAGTTGGCCCACAAATTGTTGCTTGGATCACAATCTGTCCCAATACATTAAACCCCCAAAAAAGGCCTCATAGAGACCTACTCTTTCTTGCATAGCATCTGCTATAAAATTCTCATATTTTTTGGTTGAGGTAGTAGATTCAATTCATCTTCCTTGGAGATCATTGACATTGTACAGTGGAAGGTGTGTGCTCTTTCCTAATGTATGAATGTTGCTTGATTTAGTTTAATGGATGCATAACCATCCAGTAATTGGGTAGTTCTTCACATTATTGTTTTATAAAATCCTACTTTCCAAGCATATGGACTGTATCTTGGTAATGCATGCTGATATTTGCACACCAGGGATAGAATTGCCTACTTAGTAACTTAGAATGGGCTTTTCGATTTACTGGCCTATTAGTTGTCTGTTTTTGCATTTCTCCTTTTGCGAGCAATTCTCAATCAAGCTTATGGCTTCCATCTGTATTGACAGAGAAAGAGATGGGGAGGATGTTGGGGTGCATTCTCTTGTTTTGACTCACATAAAGGTGGAAAGCGTATAGTCCCTGCGTCTCGTATTCCTGAAGGCAATGCATCAGCAACCCAGCCAAATGGACCCCAAGCGGTTGGGCTGACCAACCAAGCCACATCACTAGCTCCATCTCTTTTGGCTCCGCCTTCTTCACCAGCATCATTTACAAATTCAGCACTTCCTTCAACAGCTCAGTCACCCAGTTGTTCCTTATTATTATCTGCCAACTCACCTGGAGGTCCTTCGTCAACAATGTATGCCACCGGGCCATATGCCAATGAAACACAACTGGTCTCTCCTCCTGTTTTCTCAACCTTCACAACTGAGCCGTCCACAGCTCCTCTCACTCCCCCACCAGAATTGGCTCACCTAACAACTCCCTCTTCCCCAGATGTGCCATTTGCTCGTTTCCTCTCATCTTCAGTAGACATTAAAACCACTGACAAGACCAATTACATTGCTGCAAATGATCTTCAAGCAACATATTCGCTCTATCCTGGAAGTCCTGCTAGTAGTCTCAGATCACCAATTTCGAGGGCATCAAATGACTGTTCATCATCTTTTCCTGAACGTGATTTCCCCCGACAGTGGGATCCCTCAGTTTCTCCCCAGAATGGCACCTATCCAAGGAGTGGTTCTGCCAGGCTGTTTGGGTATGACACGACTGGAGCCTCTGCGGCATCTCAAGACTCAAATTTCTTCTGTCCTGCTACATTTGCACAATTCTATCTGGATAATCCACCATTTCCTCATGCTGGTGGAAGGTTAAGCGTTTCCAAGGATTCAGATGTTTACTCAACTGGTGGAAATGGAAGTCAGAACAGACACAATAGAAGCCCCAAGCAAGATGTGGAAGAATTAGAAGCCTATAGAGCATCCTTTGGGTTCAGTGCTGATGAAATTATCACCACAACACAATATGTGGAGATTTCTGATGTAATGGATGACTCATTTACCATGACTCCTTTTACCTCTCATAAATTGCCTACTGAAGAACATATAGAACCTATATCTGTCACGGAAGGACTTAAAGCACAGAAGACAAAGACAATCTTGCAGAGTCAGGACACTACTAAATCGGAATCAGATCTTGATGAGGGTGGAAGCTCCGACTTGCCAATATCATGTAATGGATATGAAGGTGAACTGTTATAATTTTTATCTAAATTACGCTATTGTTCATTGATTTTTGAAAATCAAGCAGGGAAGAAACTTATATATTTTTTTAAAAAAATGAAAATTATCATTTCCTAAAAAGTCAATGTTTGACTGCTGGAACAGCTTATGCAACCTTAATTAGTCATAAGCCCTCATTTGTCCATGTTTTCTTAGCAGCTAGATGAAGCAGTAGTTTCTTTAAAACTAAATTCAAGTAACATGCTTTAATAAGTCAAATTTTATGTGGTCGAAACCATTCAGCTTGTTTATCAAAAGTTTGGAGGACACTAACATTTAAGCTAGTCTTTTTTTCCTCTTTTTTTTTTTTCCCCCGATAATGCCTTCCGCTGTCGTGTGTGCCTTTGCAATGGAAGAAAAATGTAAAGGACACATAGAAAAGGAATCAGGGAACGTTTCATCTTACTTGAACTCTCTCTCCCCTTTCTTCCCCCTGCTTATTTTTTATTTTTGGATAGTAATGTTCATTTCTTGTATGACTCAGATCACAAATCATGGAGGCAGCCTGGTGATGTATCTCGATCAAGTACGCCTGGTCCTGGTATCCGTGTTCTCGCCGACGAAGAAGACATTTTTTCAAAGATAGGGTCGTCTAAATTGAGCAGAAAGTATCAGCTGGGTCTATCAAGCTCAGATGCAGAAATTGACTATAGAAGGGGAAGAAGCTTACGAGAGAGGAAAGGAGAGTTTGCATGGCATGACTAAGAATAAGCAACAAAGCGCATTGTTAGTTGTTTCGCATGTGTATTAATTTGCTGTTGTCTTTCTGGTTTGGGGTTCTGTGATAGGTGGAATGATCTAACCTATGATCTAACCTGTTCTCTCTTGGTGTGTGACCTGGTCTCTCTGATTGATGAATGTATGTGAATGCATCAATTGATATGTATTTGGTGAAATGCGGTTAGATATATTGTATTAGTGGAACATGTATTGCTATATCAGTTTAGCTATTGTTATGGCTTTTCTGTACCATAACCGTACCGTCGGCGCGTTAAGATAGTGGGAGATAAAGACAAAGATTTGCAGGGCTATCAGCTACAGAGCTCCTTTGCCTGTAGATATGCATCAATAGACAATCCAATTCTTTATCCAATTAAAAGTGACAAGCTTTTAAAAATTTGGCTGCTAACCATTTGACCAATCTGGGTCGAGTAATTCTCGGTGGTCGATGAGGGGCATGTATGGGTTTTTATTGGGTGCATTTTATATTTTCAATTTAGCTTTTAACGTTTAAATTTATTAATATATATAAGGTAAGTATAAGGTTCGTGGTATTAAATAAGGACCTATTCCTCATTCATTTTTGAGATTGCCTTGGAAGTTTGATTTTGCTTTTCTAATGATGCCAATGGAGATTTTCTTTTTGCTTTCCGTATGGTGCCAAACATGATCCCACTTTCTTTAGTAAAGTTTGTTACTATGCAAATGATCTCTACACGTGGGTGTTGCTGCTATTGCTTCTATTATGGCTGCTTATGCCGTTGGGAGATGAGAGATTCTTTTTTATCTTATGCTTCCATCATGTTCATGATATTATGAATCTCTACTTATGCTAAATTGTTTTAGTATGAGATGTCAGCATAATATGCTTCCAGATGACCTACTAATTTATTATACAACACTTCAAAAGTCTCTTCTCCTATCTTGCTCAGCCTGAAATTATATGCTTCATCATGTCTTCTTGTTGGAATATGATAATAGATCATCATAAAATTGGGCCGGTAGAGAATGTGCAGATGCTCTGTCGGGGTAAACACTATACTTAAATCATTTTGGAGGAATACTAGTGACATCTAGTTTTACTTTTTCCAAAGATGGATATGGTAACTTATAACTTCTTTTAGTTTGGAAGGAAATGAACGGATAACACTAACCTAAATAACAATGCTATAACTTGGAGTAACTAAGATACTTTCTTGGTTATGCTCTAAATGTAACTCTTTGTATTCTACCTTATTGTGAGTCGAATAATATGGGTAGAATATTTTCAGATATATTTCATTCTTCAAAATGAGATATTTATAATAAAATACTAATTACACAATATCTGTATAAAAATGAGAGACATAGAGCCCTAATAGACTAGGAAATAAATTTCCTAGTTAAGCTAGGATCTCGCTAACACTCCCTATCAAGTTGGAGTGCATGCCCAATTTATCAAGTGAGTTAAGAAAGACAGTAGTAGACACAACTTTCGTAAGTACATCTACCAATTGATATTCAGATGATATAAACGGAAAAGAAACAATCTCAGCATCCACGTTCTCTTTAATAAAATGTCGATCAACCTCTACGTGCTTTGTACGATCATGTTGCACAGGGTTATAAGCAATCACAATTGCAGCTCTGTTATCACAATACAAATCCATAGGTTTCTGGGGCGCAAACCGAAGATCTCTCAACAATCTCCTTAACCATAGTAACTCGCACACACCTTGAGCCATCCCACGATACTCAACTTCGGCACTGGACCGAGACACCATTTTTTGCTTTTTACTCATCCAAGTAACAAGATTACCATTAACAAATGTGAAATATCCAAACGTAGAACGTCTATCAGTGACTGAACCAACCTAATCAACATCCGTATACCCTTCCACATTTGTATAACCATACTTGGAAAACATTAACCCCTTGTCATAAGTTACTTTTAGATTCCTCAAAATACGCATCACAACACCCCAGATGATCTTCACTAGGAGAATGCATAAATTGACTCACTACACTGACTCTTTATCTGTAGGGACTTGATCAGGATACAACCCCAACTTATGATTCTATTCACTAGGGGTATTAATTGGTTTACAATCCAACATTTCAGTTTCTGCATGTAAATCCAAAACATACATTGGGACAAAAAGATACCATGTTTAGATATGGCAACTTCAATTCCAAGAAAGTACTTCAAATCACACAATGATTTCAACTCAAACTCGGAAGCTAGATACTTCTGAAGATTTTGCATTTCTATTTGATCATCTCTAGTTACAATCATATCATCAACGTAAATAATAATTAAAGCTGTCAATTTACCTTTATGATGCTTAGAAACAAAGTATGATATGAGTTACTCTACACATACCCAAATTTCTTCATAGATGTTGCAAACCTCCAAAACCATGCTCTTAGAGACTGTTTTAATTCATATAAGGATTTTCGTAGCTTACACACAACACCCTCTTTGAAGGTCATATGAATACCAGGAGGAAGATCCATGTATATTTCTTCCTTGAGGTTACCATGTAGGAATGCATTCTTTACATCAAACTGAAGAAGGGTCAGTTATGATTAGCAGCTAGGGACAAGAGCACATACACAGTATTGAGCTTTGCTACTGGAGCAAAGGTCTCCAAATAATCTACTCCATAGGTTTGCGTATAATCCTTTGCTACCAATCTAGGCTTGTAACGGTCAATGGAACCGTCAGCTTTGTGCTTCAAAGTAAATGCCCATCTACACCCAATAGCTTTCTTCCCTCTTGGTAAAGAGACTAAATCCTAAGTTTCATTCTTGTTTAAAGCTTCCATTTCAACATTCATAGCATCCACCCATTTGGGGTCAGAAAGAGCATCATACAGCTTAATTGGCACACATACACTAGATAATTGACACAAATATGATGCATATGACTTAGACAAACAATGAGTTGACACATAATGGCTAATGAGATATTTAGACTTGACATGTATATCAGGAGAATATTGTACTTTAGGTATCCCACGAGTGATTCGTAGGGGTAACTAATAAGTTGACACAAATAGATCATCAGAAATTACCTCACTTGATTCACTATAACGAGTAGATTGGGGCACTGGTAGGGCAAGAAGGAGAGAAGGGTGTATTGCATCGAGCTCATCCATACAAGAATCACTGTCACTATTTTGAGATATAGGCGATTGGTCGTTTGCTTAAGTGTTACAGCTAGAGCACTTGCTTCATCTCCAGGTATGGGCTACCGGTCGAGTTCCAAAGGGCGATAGGTCGTTTCTTCACAAAGACCACATGTTTAATCTTCAGATGTGGCAACCGGTCACTTGCTTCAGTGCAACCGGTCATTTCTTTCCTGAGAGCAATATCTGCAAACACATCGTTCTCCAATTCAAGTCCAAGATTCTCCAATCCAAGACTCTCCAATTCACTCCCCCTCTCCCCCTGAATTGGAGAGGAGGGAGAAACATAATAAGGTACTTCTTCATGGAAAGTCACGTTCAAAGTAACATGCACCTTCTAGATAGGTAGATGATAACACTTATAACCATTATGAGTAGAAAAGTAGCCAATAAATACACAACGCAGAGTACAAGGATCAAGTTTACTCCATTGATGAGAGTAGACATGAACATAGGCAATACACCCAAAAACTTTAGGGAACAACTTGGAGACGAGGACAGGGCAAACATGTCCACCAAACATATCATCTGGAGTTTTGAAATCAAGAACCCTGCTAGGAGTATAATTAATCAAATAAGTAATAGACAGAACAACATGCCCCTAAAGATGACGGGGAACAGACATATCCAATATGAGTGAGCGGGCAACTTCAAGCAATTGTCGGTTCTTCCTTTCAGACACACCATTTTGTTGAGGGGTTGGTGAATAATACATTGAGCACGGAAGAAATAAGCCAAAGTATTATTCACATATTCTCCTCTATTATCAGTCTAGAATACTTTGACCCGAGCCTGAAACTGAGTAGACACCATAGTACAAAACTTTGGAAGCATGGAAACAATATCATGTTTATTTTTCAGCAAGAAAACCCAAGTGAGTCGGGTACAATCATCAATAAATATGACAAGCCAACGAAATCCATTCGAAGCAACGTGAGCCGGACCCCACATATCAGAATGCACTAAATCAAAAGGCTTTGTAGTTTTAATGTCACTCAAAGGAAACACAGTGCGATGACTTTTGGCCAAAATACATGTCTGACACTTAAAACTGGCCTCATCACAATAATGGAATAAAGATGGAAACAGACGCTTAAGGTAGCCAAACGACGGGTGTCCTAGCGAAGATGCCATAACCAAATTTGTTGTTTGTCTTTGACACTGCAACTTTGAACAGTATTAACGACACGATCACGAACTGGTGCAGAAGGCAATGTCAAATAATATAACCCCCTATCCGTTTACCATGCCCAATCGTCTCGTGAGTCTTGAGATCTTGAAAAGAGCAATGTGTAAGATAGAAAGTAGCAGAAGCATTAGGTGTATCAAGTAATCGAACCAATAGATAACAAGTTACAATAAATATTGGGAACTAGTAATGCACAAAACAAAGACAAAGTATGAGTGAAAGAGATTGTGTAACAACCCGGTCCTTAATTAATATTTAATTATTAATTTATTCTAGTAAAAGACAATTATACCCCTAGAATATTTTATTAGGTTTAAAGTTGATTTTTTGACCGGAAAGGAATTTGGGGATTTGGGTGGTACCATTGTGTAGAGCTTGATGATACGAGTTCGTAGACATGCAGCAATGATTAACAACCTAGCTAAATAATTAAGTGCATGTCCATATTTAATACACATATTCAGTGGTTGAAAAGGAAGAATTATAGCTTTTGGTTTTTATCAAATTTTGGGTATATATATATATATATATAGTCCCCTTCTATTGAGGGGTTCCTCAAATAATTTTATTTGAGGGACGCCCTTTAGGGTACTCTATAATTTTTTTTTTTCCAATGATCCAAACCATCTATTTTTTAGGTCTTCATTCATAGATCATCCTTACAAAAAATTAGACAAATTGGAAACCGTTTCGACATCCAATTGTGTCCTACTAAATCAATGAACACGGTGCTTTAAGAAAGTACTAAAATTTCAATAACTTAATTGAATAGTCCAATGATATCGGATTCAAGTGATTTTTTGTAGAGATGATATTTGGATGTGTATCTACAAAATAGACGGTTCGGATTAGTGAAATACAATCCGGAGTGGGCCCTACAAAGGGTGTCCCT